ATATCACTGCTCCATCACCGCACACAAACTGGTCACCGACTCACCGCACACAACCACTGGTCCACCGCACACACCATCTAGACACACTCACTGGTCAACAGCACGGCACCCAACCACCAACCGCAAAATCATCCACAAAAAATAAACCCAAACTCCAGTAACCCAAACACCGACGCTGCTGCAGTTCGCTGCTGCGAGATCTGCGAACGGTGCGATGCGAAGTGCAGCGACGCAACAAATAAGGAAATGAAAAAAAGGGAGGTAACGCTGCTGAAAAAAAAAGATCTGGATCTGTGGGGTGAAAAACAACAGATCTGGAGTGCCATTTCATCGGAGTGGAGAGGGAGAAGAAGTTAGAGAGAGAGAGATACCTAGAGAAAATCAGCGGTTGGGCGGGTGTTTCTAACACAAAGACAAGGAGGAGAGAATGGCGGTTGGGCGGCGGTTTCTAACACGGACGGGGAGGATAGTGAAAAATTAAGGTTAGGGTATTTATATATTACCTGATTTTTGAAAAATGAAACTTGGTCCTTGATTTTTGAATTTAAAACTTTAAACACCTAATTTTTTATAATTTCCCCTTGGACAATACCTGACCAAAGCCCACGGCTGCCCCCATCTCTGTCCCTACTCGAGTGGGAAATCTTCGATCGGACGGTCTTTACACCTTTGTTATAGGATGAGGTCTTCAAATAAATAACCAATGTTGTTGGCATATTCTATTTTGTACATGAAAAAAAAAAATTAAAAAATGGGTTCATTATATGTGATTATTTATTTATTTATTTATTTATTTTTGAGATCCTTATGCCCTTATGGGAACTTCATATTCAAAAAAAATATTATCCAAACTGAATCATTAAAAATTACAGAGGAAATAACATTTTTATACATTATGGGTGTGTTTAATGAATATTATTGAGGAAATAATATATTTTAAATAATGACGTGATGAAAAATATGTAGTTAAAAAGTAAGAAAAAATTATTGATGTGATGAAAAATATTATTTTATTGAACAATGTGTGATTGAAAAAATATATTTCGAAAAAGAGGAATACATGGGCTATAATTTTTTAGTTACATATATAAAAACTATCAGTTACGATAATGCAATGACGACTCATTTAATAATTTGTAACATATAGTAAGATGTAACTAGATTTTAATATAAAAACGAATGGTAGCGTTTCATCGCTGATCCCACCACCCACGAGTCATCGTAAAGAATTGCATCATTTCATTGTAAACCGTCCAATGGGAAGGGACGGCTGGGATTGGTTCCCGGCGACGGTTTGTAAGCGGTCCAGTGCCATTTTCTTGCATACAGTGACTTTGATGCATTGCATTGCACCATGTAGACTATATTATGTACTAATATGTGATTTTACCAAATTAAATTATAGCTCCATTTATATAGTCAAAAAAATATATCAGTTGTGATCTATGTGATATGCGAAGTAGTAACCTCTGTATTAATGTGATTGTATTAGCCCCTGTTTGGGTCTCATTATTCAGGTGGAAAGCAGAAAAAAAAAAAAAGGATCGTTATTTTCAAATGTGGGCCCCAGCTGTGAGATAAAGAGTAAAAAATGATGGCTGGCAACGGTTGGAATTTCTCTAAACACGTAGAATTATTGCTGAACAAACAAGGTCTTAATATGAAAAACGAAATTGTTGTTTAACATGTGTGACGTAAAAACAAAATAGAGCAATTGATAATTCTGTAGTTTATGTGTGTGACCACTATTGGTCCCCAAATAATATTGAAATTGTAAGATTCACATTATATATAAATTGAATTTAAAAATTAAAAATCACATACATATGATATTACCATAATTAACGGGACTAAGGAATGAAGATAATATAAATAAATAAATAAATAAATAAAAAAAAAAAATATATATATATATAAAATATTTTCTAAAACAAAAAATACATTATTCGTGAATAAAAAATTATAATATCTGATTTTTTATAACAAAAAGTTGAAAGCATGGTTTCCTCTAATTTTCTCTCAAAGTCTTTATCATGAGGACTTTCAATTGACGAATCTCGAACTGTACTTCGATTTTAATTTGGATTCAAATTTAATTGCTCGTGTTTCTTTTATTCTTTGTAAGTTACGTTTGAAGGATTCTTGAATGTCAAGATTCATAAAAGATTTATCGATTACTCATATCAACTATACCATCGAATTATAATACTTTGTAATCAACATTGAAATTGCAACTAAAGATCTTATAAATTCCTGTAAATCATCTAAAAAAATTACAAGTGAATTATTCGAATAAAGTGCTGTAACAAACTTAGAATGAAAATTCAAAAACCCTAAAATATATTCTAACGGTCGATGAGTAGAGAGCGAAACTAAATTGTCTAAAGGTTAACGTTTTTAGGAACCGATGTTGCACCAAACTCAATAACGTAGTCGTATCGTCCGGGGTCAGTCTTGATCGCAAAAGGAGCGGAACATGAATAACAGTTGATTTTGAACCTCCATATCGGTATGTCAAATAATGTTTCCCATCCCGCCTCTTCCTTGGCTGCTTCAAATCTGTTACCCTTTCCCATGCAGAAGCCACAATGTTCACAATACACGTTGAATGGTAGCGTCATCTTTACCTTAAACTTTTGCAGTTTCTCCGTCATTGGCTTCTCCAAAATCTTGTGAACCTCCAATTCTGATGAAGAAAAGTTATTCGTTGCCATGGCGAAACAATAAATTTCAATGTGAAAAAAAACTCACTCACTTTCAAGATCGATTTTTCTCTCTTTGTTTTGCTCTGTGTGCATGTGTATTTATATAGGTGTCGCAGGTTTTCAATTTGGATTCGAATTCTGATTAAGTCAAAATTTGGTAAGTTGCCTTA